AGTTCCCATGATACTGGGCGCAGTGACGCTCCAACGCCATTGCAGGGATTTTCGAGAAGCCTGCGTCCACTGCTTTCGATCTCAGCGTGGCCAGGCGTCTCATGCAAGAATGCGGCCTGAGGAGCACGAACGAGGGCTGCGTCTGTCGAGTGTCCGCCAGTCGCCGTGGACCGCGCGTGAACTCGGGCAGGCAGGATACGACGTCGACGCCACCTGTATTCGTGCGGTGCCCCGCGGTAGTACCTCTCATCCCCCCTTCTCCTGCCCTTGCGCCCGTGGCTTTTGGAATGAGACCCCCCCTGAAGCTGGCAAGGCCCGCATCTCTGATTCGGCGGGAGCTTCCCATGTGTCTGCGGGTCGCAGGATTAGCCAGAGCCAGTGTCAACGCCGACGCCAGGAACTAGCACTGCCAATCGTCGGCTCTGGTGCGCCGCCGAGGGCGTTACCATGGCGGAGGCCTTCACTGGCGATGTGTTCACTGACGGTCCGACGGATCTTGCTTCGAGGATGGGCCCGTCGTTTTCCAGGCTGCCAAATGGGAGGTGGCGCAGATGACGCCAACGGGTGAGCTGTTTGCCGCCCTCTGGGGAGCCGTCGAAGCAGATTACCCGCGTACCCCTCCCCAGAGGCTGAGCACATTGCCGTCCTCGCGGTCATGGAATTGCGCCCGAAGGGAAGGATAATTCCCTCGGACTTCTGAATGCGGGTCAAGCTTTCGGAGGCGCCGCGGCGGCAAGTGGCGGCCCAGCAGCACGTGAACGCCGGCCTCCATGCACACAGAGGTTCACCAGCCTGGACCCAGGAGTTCCGCACTGACAAGGTCTCCCCTCACGTGAGCCCTTCTGTTTGCCAGCTGGATCGCTGGAGTGGTATCGAGCCGTGGGAAACGGCTTCGCTGACAGGCGTGTAAAGAGAGGGGCGCTCACGGTAGGGCAGCCGTCTGCGTCTGAAATCGATGCATGGATTGAGGACAACGCCTCCCTGAGGCGATAGCGATATCTCAAGTATGCAGCCCGGGCGCTACTTTGTACCCGAGGCTCGCCCCCTCCAAAGCAACGCGTTGAATTATCAACGCGCGGCTAAGGCCACCAGGCTTCAAAGCGGGCGTTGGGGCTGTCCGCCAGGCGCTCCCGTCCCCGCCGCCCCTGGCCGCTTCCTCATTTCCGCCACCCCGTGCCCCGCCCGAAGCGGCATGTTCGGCCGTTGCTCCGGCGAACACAGAGGGGCTTGCGCGGGCTTGGCGTCGCACCCGTTAGGTGTATGTAGAGCTCGGTCCCTTACATGTTGCATCAGTGTGTGTGTGTGTGTGAGCAAATGGAAGAAAGGGCGGACCCTTTTCCTGCTCTCCGATGCTTGAGCCAAGCGCCAACGGGCCAAAACAGTCACCAAAGGCCGCGGGTGATTGGTTTTAGGTCTGCGCTTCTAGCGGCCGTCCGCGGAGGAGCACGCAGCAGCGAAGCACCCGCTCTGTGTCACATGGAGCTGCATCATGCGTTATATATCTGCAGTCGAGTTCCAACGGATCCCCCATTCATTGGGGCCCTCGATAGCCATTTGACTCAAAGAATTGGATTCCGCCGTAATCGCGACTGTAAGGATGATACCTCCAAGGGCCTTTGCAGCAGGTCCTTCCAGCAAGGGCAAGCTTCTTTGAGCAGCGGTTCGTGGTCAACTGCAGCCACCCTCACGAGGCACTCGGATGGTCGTCCCAGCCTCAGCGATGGTTTAAGTACCCTAGAAGCCTGTAGCGTACTTGGCGGTGCCCCCCTCTCCTTTCCCCCTTCCTCCTCCCCCCCCCTCGCCCCTCGCCCCTAACCCTCCCACACCCCCCGCCCATTCGTGGTCGTCCTCTTCCTCGGCTTCTCCTCCTCCTCCCCCTCCCTGTCCTTTCTCTTGCCCTCCTCCTCAGGCGTGCCTGGTACCAGACGCGCTCCGTGTGGCCCGCTTCCCTCCTTCCCTCTCGTCCCCCCCCCCTTCCCTCCTCCCTCCCCAGGGCTCATCTCGATTCCTCCGATTCGATTCGATTCGATGTCGATGGCTTCCGATTCCGACTCGATTCGACTTCGGACTCCGATTTGGGCTCCGATTTTTGTGTTGGGGGCCTACTAGCCTGCCGCTTTCCGCCGATCTTCGACTTCTCCCGACTCGGCCGCCGATCTCCGGCGGTCCGATTCGTTTCGAGCGCCGATCGGGCTTCTCGATGCGACTCTGAGCTCTCCTCCCCCCCTCATCCCCCCCCTGTTTCCGAGGCCCGAAAACCATCACTTCACTAATTTTGGGCCCCAGGGCCCACTGAGGCCCCAGGGGCCCCAGATTAGTGAAGTGATGCTTTTTCCCACGTAAGGACCCCGAAATTCATCACTTCACTAACCGAACCCAGGACGAAAGTCAGGGGCCGAATTGCTGCTGTGATGCCACATCGGCCTCGTACTGGACGTCGACGACGTCGACGGCGCCACTCTGGGCGCCCAGGGCGCAGGGCGAGGTGCCGCCACAGGCAGGCCCGGGGCAGGGGCCCTGGCCTGGCGAAGCGTAGAGACGCTCCACCAAGCCAGGGCCCTGTGTTTCTCTGTGTTTCTCTGCGTTTCTCTGCGTGTCTCTGTGTGTCTCTGCGTTTCTCTATAGAGAAGCAGAGAACACACAGAGAGAAATGCGCCTCGAGTGCGCGGCAGGCACGCCCGAAGGCCCCCAGCATGTCACCCGTGCAGGGAGCCGCCGGGCCAGCGTTTCTCAGACGACTTGCTGGACAGCTGGCTCGGGTTCTTCAGCACGTTCGCCCCTCCAGCATTCACCGACAAAGCTGGCCCAGCTGTGTTCCAAGATACTTCCGCGAAGCTCGCGTTTCTTGGGTCACGATGGGGGTAGAGCCGGTGCTTCCTGTCACGGAACCTGGCCAGGGAAACGGACCTGGCCGGCGACCGTCGTGTGGCGGTCCCCACCCATGATACGCAGCACCTGCAATCACTTACGTATGCTATGCAATCCTACATATCAGTAGCGTGTGATTCTTTCTTGCGGATCAGGAGATGCCAGTCCCAAGAAGAGCTGAAGCTCAGCGTGAATCACATGTTGGCACATGTGATCCGCACTGTGGCAGTGGTTGGCGCTATCGTCTGCTCTTGGTCACATGTTTGGCCGCATGGCAGGGGACGGGCGGCTCCCCCCCCCTGGCCCATCGAGGACGGCTTCGAGGACTGGAGGCGCCACGTGTCGGACAGGATGCCCGGGGCGCCCAGACTCGGGCGCCCCTCGCCCCCGGGCACTCGTCGGCGGCGCGCGCGCCACGGAGAGGGCGCGGGGGAGGCACCGGGGAAGCTGGAAGAGGTGGCCCCGTTCCGTCGGTAAGCCTGCGGCAGAAGTATTTGGGGGTGGGGTTCTGAAGAGACGTGTCGCGCTCCATCCTCGTCGCCACCCGCTCATGACCAAGGCCCAGGTTTTGGGGACCCCCAGCGCATCCGAATTGCTGCCTGTCCGGCCCCGCCGCCACGGGGAAGCTGGGAAAGGTGGCCGTGGCTAGCCCCCCCCCCCCCTCCTTTTCAGCCATGGCCAGTTTCTTAGCAGTTTTCCCAGCCCGGGCGATCTCTTCTTTATTCCCAACCATCTTCTTGTGTTGGGTCCTCGTTGTGAAGAGAGAGCGCCCCGCGTCTCCTCTACTCTCCTCTCCTCTCCTCTCCTCTCCTCTCCTCTCCTCTCCTCTCCTCTCCTCTCCTCTCCTCTCCTCTCCTCTCCTCTCCTCTCCTCTCCTCTCCTCTCTCCTCTGTCCTCTGTCCTCTCTCCTCTCTCCTCTCCTCTCTCTCTCTCCTCTCTCCTCTCCTCTCTCCTCTCCTCTCCTCTCTCCTCTCCTCTCCTCTCTCTCTCCTCTCCTCTCCTCTCCTCTCCTCCCTTCCCCTTCCTCCTTTCTCCTTCCTCCTTCCTTCCTCCTCCCTCCTCCTCCTCCTCCTCCTCCTCCCCCTCCCTCTCCTCCTCCTCCTCCTCCTCCTCCTCCTCCTCCTCCTCCTCCTCCTCCTCCTCCTCCTCCTCCTCCTCCTCCTCCCTCGTCCCTGACACGGTTCGTAGCCCCTTTGGGAGCTCCACCGAAGGCCCTAGTGGCAGGGTTTACATGGCGGCGCCGCCCAATTGTGGCGCACCCCTCCCATGGTCCGTGGCCCCATATGGAGCTCCACCGAAGGCGTCAGTAGCAGGATCCACATGGCGGCGCCGCCCCAGTTTGGCGCACACTTCACACGGTTCGTTGCCCCGGTCCAAATGGCGGCGCCGCCCCATTTTGGCCCACCTTTCACACGGTTCGTGGCCCCATCGGGAGCTCCACCGAACGCCCCAGTGGCAGGGTCCACATGGCTGCGCCGCTCCACATTGGCGCACCCCTCACAAGCTTCGTAGCGTCATCAGGGGACACCGAAGGCCCCAGCGGCAGGGTCCGGTGGCAGGGCACATATGGCGGCGCCGCCCCAGTTTGGCGCACACTTCACACGGTTCGTGGCCCCATAGGGAGTTCCACCAAAAGCCCCAGTGGCAGGGTCCGCATGGTTGCGCCGCCCCAGTTTGGCCCCCTCAGGGAGTTCCACCGAAAGCGGCGCCACAACACGGTATTCATAATTGTTCATAGCTGGGTCTTTCGACAGGATAATTATTGTCATCGGCTGCGTAACGCGTACTCGCTAACTGGTATCTTGGAAAATTGCCGAAAGTTGCCAGTTTAGGGCCTCTTTCTGGCGTTGCAGCGTCGCCCACATCGGGGTGGACTGGGTTCGCCGCGTCACTGATCAAAGCACCCTTTAGTGGAGTCTTCGTTGGAGGGGCGCTGATGTTTCGGGCTCGTTTCTGCCCCTGCCAGTCTTTCCAGCCCTGGCCACTGGCACTCTCACTGGATGTCCAACTACCGCTTTCACGAGCTTCGCTGCAGGCATTCGAACGAAGGCGGGCGGGGGCTTCTAAGAGGACCGGGGAATTTTTGGAGGACCTCCCGGCTTCCAAGAAAGCTCTTCGAGAGCATCCAGGCCCTGCCCGAGAAGGCCCATGCCTTCTTTCGGCGGCGCGCCCGGGGGGAAGTTTGAAGGAGCAGGCCTTTTCAGAAGGCTCGGACGTTCCCGGGCCTTCTGGGAAATTTTCTAAATCTTTCTGGGATTATTCTCACAAGACGCGAGGGCTTCTGAAAAGTCCGACTGCCTTCTGAGCAGATCTTCTCCTTCTCACTGTCCCCCCTCGCTCGCCGCAGGTTCTTAGAAGAGCATGCAGGCCCTCCTCCAGAAGGCCCCTCCTCAAGAGCATCCAAGGTCTCCTCCAGGAAGGCCCTCCTCAAGAAGGCCCCCCCCGTCTTTTGAGAAGGCCCTCCCTGCCTTCTTTAACCAGCCTCGAACTTATCCCTATACCTAAGATGGGCGAGCAAAAGGCGAGGACAATCTTAGGGATAGGCCCCCAGAAACTGAGTGAATCCTTCAGATCGGCATCGAGGTGAGGTGCTGTCAAACATAGGGATAGGGATATGTTTCAAATTGGTAATTCTTGGGGAGGACCACCCCTCTTTTTCGCCGCCCCCCTAGTGCGCGCCGTTCGACCCCTCTGGGTGGAGGGAACGAGGATTCAGTCGGGCGTGTCCCTCTACAGGAGCAGTGTTCAAAAATAGTAGGCAGATAGTCTGGCGACGACTATTCTACTGCTGGTGGCTGCGATTGCGCATGTTGTGCCTCTTTCCCATGGCTCTTCCAAAAGCCGCCTGTAGGAGGGCATGCCCGACGTAGTCCTTGGGTGAAGGGAACGAGAGGGAGGGGGCAGTACAGTCGGGGCCCTGAAGAAGGAACCCTTTTCGTTGGGGAGGGGCTCGGTGTTCCTTGATTGTTTCACAGTTTGCCGCAGGTTTTCCTTAGGTTTTCGATGGGACGTCGAAGTTTAACTTCTGGAGAAAAGGGGCCTCGTTCCTTATTTTGGGTTCCTTAGGTCAACGCCCCGACGGTAGGGGGGAGGAGCTGCAGAGGTCCTGGCGCCACATTTTTCCACACTGGTCGCTGGTGCCTGGAATCGGGACCTTAGCCTACGGGGGCCCTCGCAGATGGACCTCGCTCGGGAACTGCCGCGCAGAGAGTGTGCCCAGGCTTCCATTCGCCCTGTGCTTCACGAGGCTGGATGTTCTTCGCGGCGTCGGGTTTCGGCAAAGGGAGTGGGGGAGAGGGGCGATCTGAGGTAGTGATGGCGGGCAGCGAGTGGAAGAAGGAGAGGGAGAGGGCGTGAGCCAGGGTGAGGGAGGGGGGACGTGACAATGAGGGGCGGAGGGGGGAAGGGGAAGAAACGATGAAGGGGGGGTGAAGGGGTGGAGGGAGGGAGCGACACGCGCTGCACTCCGGAAGTTTTCATGTCTAGCTGCGCGATGGCGCCGTCGATGGAATCACGCTACCGACCCAGATGCTGGAAGCCCGCCGGAGCCAGCGTTCGAGGAGGGGGTCGACCGTGGGGGGGGGCGCTTGGGGGGATGGGGTGGCCGAGGGGGAGAAGAGCGGGAGGGAGTGGGGTCGGTGGAAGGGGCGAGGGGGGGAAACACAGGGGGGGAAACACATGGTCGGAGGGGGTGGGCGAGGGGGGGAGGGGGGGAAACACAGGGTCGGAGGGGGTGGGCGAGGGGGGAAACGCAGGCGGCGGAGGGAAGGGGCGGGGAGGAGATGGGGGAGGGGAGCGCTTTTTGTCAGCGGCGACGTCCAGGCACGAGCTATTGCTTCTTGCTGCTGTTTCTTGCTGCGGGTTGTGTGTGTGTGAGTGCTGTCCTGTGACGCCTGGTCTGGACATTGGCTCGCGGTTTGAGCTATAGTTTCTTGCTGTGAGTTGTGTATGGATGCTGTCTTTCGACACCTGATCTTGATCTTGCTTTGCAGTTCAGGGATCGCTACCTCAGCTTCCACATCGTGAATTTCATTCGATAATTCTCTGTTGTATGGAAGTTACTTCATGGACGTGAGCGTCTATCTCATAAGATAGGGTGTCGCTTTTCCATCTTTTATATACGTCCAGGCACGAGACACTGCAGTCAGCGTGGAGGAGGGGAGCGGGGTAGGCCAGGAGCGGAGGATGGTGGGCGGGGGGGGTGGGCGGCGGGGGACGGACGAGGGGGCGGGGGGGAGCGGAGGGGGGGCGGCCAGGAGGAGTGGGAGGAGGGGGGGGGGGGCTGAGGGGGGGAGGGGGAGGGGAGGGGGGAGGGGAGGGGAGGGAGGGAGAGGGGAGGGAGGAGAGGGGAGGAAGGGGGGGAAGGGAGGGGAGAGGGAGGGGGAGGCACAGGCCGGGGCATACGGGGAGGCACAGGCACTTGGGGGGCGCGGCGGCGGGCGGGCTGGGAGGGGGGCGGGCGAGAGCGCAGGCCTGGGCGCTCTGTCCGCCCCCGCCCCCAGGAGCGAGAACGAGGGGGAGGCCGTCGCGATGGACGAGGGGCAGCGCGAGAGGCCTGTCGTCCACACCTTCCGGCACCCCACCTTTTTTGTGCACTGTATTATCCTTATGCCTCTTACCGAGATGAGCTAACGCACATATGCATAGCTTACGCACATATGCATAAACATATGCTTATCCATATACAAATATGCATATATAACATATACGCATGCCTGTAGACAACAAATCAGACATACATCGTACGTACGCACGGTTATACACACATATATACATACATACGTACACACATGCATACACACATACATACATAAATACATCCATACATACATACATACACGCATACAGGCATACACCACGACTACACACAGACACATTCATACATGTATACGTGCATCTCTACAGATCTACATACATATGTACACCCATACATGCACACGAGCGTTTGATTTCACACACAAACACAAACGCATGCACCCACACACAAGCAACCATCACACATTCATAGCGCATACATGCATGCATGCACACATGCATGCATACGAACACATATATGTATATATATGTATATATAAATATATTCATGCACGCGTACATACATGCACACTTATATACTTACAAACATACATACAATCATACAGGCATGCATACATCCATGCATTCATGCATACATACCTACGTACACACATCCATACATACATGCATACGCACCCACAAACATACCTGGATTTGTGTTTACGTAACTGCGTACATACATGCATGTATGCATATACGCGTGCACGCATGTATTCAGGCATACATGCATACATATGTATACGCATCGTTCTCTCTCTCTCTCTCGTTCTGTCTCTGTGTCTTAACCCCTCCTCTCTCTCATTATCTCTCTTTCTCTCTTGATATATACAAACATACATATATACATATATATATATATATACACATTCATGTATATACCGCATTGTAGCTCTATTTTGCTGATTTCTCTCTTGCTCCCGCCATGCCTCTCTCTTTCTCTCCCTCTCCTTCTCTGCATCTCTCTATATCTCTATCTCTCTCTCTGTCGCTCTCGCTCTCTCTCTCTCTCTCTCCTTCTCTCTCGCTCGCTCTCGCTCTCCTTTCCTCTCGATGTCGCTCTGTCTCGCCTCTCTTCCCGCTCTCTCTCTCTCCCTCTCTCTCTCTTTCTCTCCCTCTCTCTCTCTATATATACATACATATTCTTATTCTGACACCAAGGATCGGTCCCCCTCAATCGAATTTCGACGGCTCCGGCGACCCCTCGCGGGCGCTTTTTGGGCCTCCTGGACCTCAGAAAGAGGCCCGAAGACGGCCAAGATCGATGCACGAGGGCCCAGGATGCCTCCAAGACGGCCCAAGATGGACCCAACACGGATCAACAAAGCCGCAAAATGGCCCAAGAGGCGTTTCAGATGCTCCAAGTTGCTCCCAAATGACGCCCAAGGGGCCCCAGAGGGGGGCCAAATTCGTTTCCCAGGGGTACCGGATTCATATGTTCTTCAGTAATTCAAAATTCTTTTCGCAGGCTGACCATCTCGGGCTGTCCACAATCTCATGCGCCCCGAAAGGCTCCAACTAGGCTCCAAAACGGCTTCCGACCACCTCCCTAATAGAATTTGAACGGCTCCAGGGGCTCTTCGTGGGCGGTTGTTCGGGCCTGATGGACATGCAGAAGTGGCCCAGGAGACCGCCAAGATCGACACACGAGGGCCCAAGATGGCCCGGCCCAATACGGCCACAAACCTGCCCAGAAGCGCATCAGATGCTCAAAATCTCTCCAAAATGACACCCAAGAGGCCCGAGGAGGCCCAAATTCATGTCCCAAGATGCCCGAATTCATGGGTTCGTCATTCGTTGCTAGGCGTTCTTCGCGTATGGCCATCTCGGGCTTTCCACAATTTCATACGTCCCCAAGGGCTGCAACAGGCTCCCGACCATCCTCAAATACAAGTGGAACGGCTTCGGACTCAATCGCGGCACCCTCAGGCGGCTAGGACGAAAACGTCTAGCACAATTACGGGGAGAGACTTGCGACAGTTTCCTGTTTGATTCCCCCTGCCGGACGTTGGGGATACCAGCCCCGCCGAGCGCTCGCGCGCGCGCGCCCGTCGTCCACTTGCCTTTGTGTTTTGCGGTTGCCCTGCACTCCCCAGGCCCTATGCACGTTGCCGGGTCCAGCTCGGGAGCCGTCTTCCGGTCCACACATCGTCCCCACCATGCATTATAACCCATACTGGAAAGCGAAGCGCAGCGCTCTTCAAGACGTATACATACATAAACACACACACATATGTATATGTGTATATATATATATATATATGTTGCATTGGCGCTCCGCGCCACGCACCTTGGTCCTTGAATCAAGCAGTGGCGAAGCGTCCTGGCTCGCCCATAGCCCCACCAAAGAATTTTCGAAGAACCTTTCGCGGTTTGCACGAAGTGCTCTTAGAACATATCTGGCTGGGACTGTCTTTGTTTAACACATGGGGTTATATTCTAAAACCATTGTTTTGGCTATTAGAACGTTTTTGGGTTCTAAGAACATTTCGTGGTAGGACTATAGGAATGCCGGGACGGTCGGTCCCTGCTCAATTGAAGTTTGGCATGCAGGCGGAAGTCGCGGCCGAAGGGCAGGAAGGTAAAGCATACAAAATCGCGATAATTATTCGTCGTCTCGTCCGACATCGTCCTCATAATAATGCCATCCGTTATCCTTCCCTAATGTATCCTATTCCCATTCTTCGTTCTGCGGTCCACGAAGGAAGTGGTGACCACCCCTAGTGGTGATCCCCCTTGGCACTGCCCGGTTCTCCTCCTCCTCCTCCTCCTCCTCCTCCTCCTCCTCCGACCCACGTGCCTGGAGGGAACGTGGCGAAACTGGTATTCTGACATATTTGGTGGAAATGCTGGACGAGGACGCCACTGCGGGGTCGTACGTCAAAGGCCTCTGCGATGTGTTTGGGTCTGTGGGGAGGCGTCTCGGGGTCGTCGCGGAAACTATGTTGCTGGTTTGGGAGATAACTTGGAGCCCCGTTTGGTTGATTTTCCGTCTTATTGGGGATCTCGTGAACCCTGGTTGGGGCGTTTGGGCGCTTGGTGGCAGTTTCGTGGGTCCTTTAGGGCCGGAGGGCTCGCGCCTGGTGGCGGTCTGAAGGTCCCTCTTGCGGCCTTCTTCGGGGATCGTGGGAGCATCTTCGCCCGTCCTGGAGCCTTCTCGGACCGTCATGGGTTGTCCTGGGGCGATGTTGGGGCCCTTTTGGGCCTTCCTGGGGCGTCGGTAGCACGAAAAAACGAGAATGCCAAAATAATGCAAAAACCGATGGGAAACGCACAGGTTTTGGATTTGGAGGTCCACTTGGGGGTTCCTCTTGGAGCTCTTTGGAACGTTTGGAAGGTCTCTTGGGCCATCAGGAGGCCATGTTGGACCCTCTTGGGGCTACCGCTGGCTCGTTTGCACGACTTCGCAGGGACTCCCGAAAGCTCGGAGGTCTCATGGGATCCTCGACAGGGGCGCCCAGGAGCCGCAGAAGCCAGAGATTCCGGAAGGTCCGGCCCGAGGGGGGGGGGTCCCACCCCCCCAGATTATAAACATACAGAAAAGTATATCTATATGTATGCATGTAAATGTATACACATCATTCATCATATATCACACACATACGTCTTGACATGTAATATGTTGTTATCCGTCCTGGTCCTTCTTTCTTTCACAAGTATGGGTGCTCTACGATAGCTGCGCATCGTGCTTCTCAGATCGCGCAGGCGCGGAGTCGGTTCACTTAGTTGGCACAGTGTGGATGCAGGATTGAGGAACCTTGCCGTTTCGGAAGGGGCTCGAGAATGTTCCGGGTCTTTCCGAGGGCCCCAGCAGAACCCTGAGATTTTGGCGATGTATTTTTCCCAACCATCCTGTGGTGTTGGATCCTCGCTTTGAAGGAACAGCGCCACGCGTCTTCTCCTCCCGCTCTCCCCCCCTCCTCTCTCGTCCCTCCTCCCATCATCACCAACCTCAACATCATCATTGTTATCATCATCACCATCATCCTTCTCATCATCGCCACCATCATCATCACCATCACTGCCGTAGCCATTTTGGCTGAAGTTCGAAACATTTGTCCCTGGCGCTTCGAGCTTGGACATTGCCAAGGGGTGGCCCAAGGCCTCCGCTTTTGTCGCACAGGGCGACATTGTGCCGCCCGATCGCTAAAGCTTTGCTGCCATACGGATTACTCCAGTCTCCCCCTCGGCCGTGATGTCGGGTTCAACTGATGTTTTGGCCGCGATTGGGTCGATGAAGAATGAGTTGCTCACAGCGACTGGGGCAGCGAATGCAAGAACGGATTCGCTGGGGTGCTGACTCAAGGCCTGCAGGCTCAACAAGTATCATCGGTACAGGATATGCAAAACTTGGTCAGTGCGATGTCTGTGCAGTGGGAGGAGCGTGTCCAGCAGGTGACGGGCTCGTCGGTAGTAGTTGGTGGCAGTGGTGCTTTGCACGGCTGCAATGGTAACGACAGCACACCTTCGGCCTTGGCAGCGATCGAGACCAAGATGGAGGCAAAGTTTCAGAATATGCACGAGCAGTTCGCGACGATTTCACGTTCGCCGTCGACCGCCGCGAATTCATCGAGTGGAGGCAGCCGCAAGCGTCCAGTGGTACACCCGTCGCCTGAGATGTTCACGGACCCTTTGCTGCACAACGAGACAGACCAGCATAACCCATGCAGAATTTGGATTGGTGGTTGGCCGCTGAGGTGCCCTCGCAGTACCGCAAGGAGCACTGATAATGGTATAAGACGCAGGTCCCTCAGGATATGGCTGCTGGTGCGGAGCCCTCTTTCCAGCGCGCGAGCCGTCCTTACTCAAGCAGTGGGCTGTTACATCACCATGTATGTGGCATGACTACCGTGATAGAGCCAAGACGTTCGCGATTCGTGTTCGTGGTGATATCCCTTTGCCTGCTCGCATGAGGAAGAACACTCTGTCATGCCTGTGGGAACCGATGGAGGTGAAGCTCACCAGCAAAGGATTGTGGGATGGATCTCTTCGGATGGGATGCCCAGGATATGGTTCAGGCCGCTTCCAGATCTCAACCGCCTCTGATTCGTGGACATTGT